TGGCCTGGGAGCTCTGTGCCTGTGCAAAGCTGCTCTTACCAGAGAGAAGACGTTGAGTGGGTAGGAAGCCATGAGCGGGGGCCCTGGGGCTCACTAAAGCCTCCCAGCATCATGGATAGCGAGAAGGCCTGGCTCCTCTCCTCGTCCTGGCAATTTCGGATGCACCAGGTCAAGGACAGGAGGCTGCCTAGCTACTGCCCCCCTGGGCGATGGTCGTCCTGACACCCTGAACGCAGACCGGCTCTGGGCTGGGCTCCCACGGAGGGTGCAGTGGGGCCGTGCACCTCCACCAGGTAACCCAGGTGGTTGAGTCCTTCTAGTTCTAACAGTTGAATCCCATTCACTCGAATGGCAGCAGATGTGTGGGGCCCGTGACAGGTCAGGGGTAAAATATTTGCAGGGCGACATCAGGAGAACTGCTGCAGCCCCTGGTTTCCTAGGTGACCTTTGGTGACAATATGACAATTGGTGAGTCCTCCCAGGGAGTCAGGCATTCACTACTCCTTGTGACCAGGTAACTAGACACACCTGGGAACTGAGAACTTGCCAGGTCCACACCCCAAAGCACTCCCACACACACACCTCCAGGCTCACCCCACTCTCCAAATATAGCAAAGTCCAAGTCAGGAGAATAAATAGAGTCAGTACCTCTGATCCCCATCAGCTGCTTAATTTTTTTAAAAATATATTTTATTGATTTTTTACAGAGAGGAAGGGAGAGGGATAGAGAGTTAGAAACATCAATGAGAGAGAAACATCCATCAGCTGCCTCTTGCACACCTCCCACTGGAGATGTGCCCGCAACCAAGGTACATGCCCTTGACTGGAATCAAACCTGGGATCTTTCAGTACACAGTCCAAAGCTCTATCCACCAAGCCAAACCAGTTAGGGCAGCTGCTTAATTTTAAAAAAATTTTTTTACAAAGCACTTAGTATCCTATCTATACTAATAAAAGGGTAATATGCTAATTAGACCAAATAGAACGGGCATCTTCTGGATGTACTTCCAGACAAAGCTGCAGTGGGTGTGAAGGCGGAGAAGGGCCAGAGGCCGGCAGTGGCTGAGGGACACCTCTTCCCAGTGCACGAATTTTCATGCACCGGGCCTCTAGTTCTAACATATTACATAATGTATGTATTTATTTGCATGGTGTTTATCATCTATCTCTCCCAGCTGGAACACAAGCTCCATGAAGGTAGGAATATCTGTTTCCTTCACTAATGGGGCCCAGGAGCCTAGAACATGCCTGGCAAACAGAAGGTGCTCAATAAACACTTGTTGGATAAAGAGTGCTAACATGCTGTGGGAGTTCTGGAATTTGTTATTGTTGTTCATGAATATATTTTTATTGATTTCCGAGAGGAGAGAAGAGGGACAGAGAGATAGAAACATCAAGGATGAGAGAAAATCATGGATTGGGTGCCTCCTGCACACCCCATACTGGGGATCGAGCCGGCAATTCGGGCATGTGCCCTGACCCGGTATCAAACCATGACTTCCTGGTTCATAGGTTGACGCTCAACCACTGAGCCACACGGGCTGGGCTGGAATGTTTTTAAGGATCTACCGTATCTTAAGGATCCAGAACAATGGAGAAGGCACTCAAAGGCGTGCCTTGGCGCTTTCCCACATACCTTTGAGGCAAACGTTCCACTAAAAGATGCCAACACTTACATAGGAGGGTAGGAGGTGGCATTCTTCACGAAGGTCCATGGCTCTGCAGGCTGCGGAGGAGCAAACCTCAGGGGTCCGAGCGGCGGCTTGGCAAAGGGGACTCCCAGGAAAACGGCCACGGGCTGTGCAAAGCCTTCTAGGCTGACATACTCCCCCAGGACCTGGCCCTGCA